AGTCAACTTATATTGGGTTCCTGGTCATTGCGGGATTAAGGGAAATGAAAGAGCTGATGCACTAGCAAGGTTCGGATCTTCTCATAAGTTCATCGGGCCAGAGCCCTTTTGTGGCCTATCGGCTGCATCTCTTAGAATGGAGCTAAAAACGTGGAAATCTTCAAAAGTGGAGGAAAACTGGAAGAACACTTCCACTGCTAGACAATCGAAGCGATTCATCAATCTAAAAAAAAATCTAAAAAAGATCCTAGCATATATACAGGTCTGAAAACAGGTTATTGTCCGAGCCGTTATCACTTGACGCTGATTGGAAAACTTAAAGATGATGTATGCCGCTTCTGTGGCATAGAAAAAGAAGACTCGGAACATTTGCTGTGCCACTGTTCGGCAATTTTCAATAAAAGGCGTAAGTTCTTCAATAAGGGGCTGATTGAACCGTTTGAAATTTGGAGAACAACTCCCAGTACGGCAATGCACTTTATTCGAATTATAATGCCGTGCTGGGCTAATGCTTTTAGTCAAACGATGGCGATCACTCATAATAATAGTGATACGGCATCTTGATATAGCCAAAGAAAAAAAAATGGGGAATATATCACAATAGATCAGAAAAATGGTCGCAGTATTGAAAATACCCGACAAGGAAAAACAAAAAAAAATGGGAAAACCTACATTTTTGCATCTTTATTACTAGGGACAACAATTTTGCACAAACCACGCCTCTAAATACGTTAAAGTATAGCCCAGGAAGTGCCTAACAACTTTTCTCGAGTATGTATGGTGCTAGAGTGTATTTAAAAAAAAAAGTTAAAGCTGTTCAAAGATCAATGGTTCGAATTAAATGCCGAAAATCCCTTTTTCTGCCAACACTGCCGGTGTACTAATGAAAGTCAGACGCCAAACTGAAATAACTTCGGAGTTTCTTATCTCATCGATTTGGTATGTTGATATGGGTGGATTTCTTGATAAGTCAGAAATTAGCTTCACCCCTCATTCAGGCATATCGTTGACAACCATCTAGAAAGCAACTCGTTGCATTGCATTGACATAATCTGTATCATTACTCCACTCGTTTGCCAGTTTTTGCATGAAGCCGGTCGAAATTTCGAAAAGGAATCAGCACTGTTAGAAATGACGGTTGACTTGGGAGCCCAACTGAAACGTAGCCCACTTAAAGTTAGCCAAACAAGTGAAATCCGACTGTACCTGTGTCTGAAACGAAATCGGTGAAGATAGTTTTCGTTTTCTCCTGTTTTATTTCTATTTTCGACGTACGACTACTTCTGTGTTTTCTATATGCAGGTGGCCCTAATGGCAGTTTAATATTTCAAATAAAAGCTTTGTATAAAAAATTAAACTTTTCTAACTACTAATAATTCAACAACATCTCCTAACTAACAAATGAACGGACATGTGGATATTAAATATTTACACTACAACAATTTTCGTTTTAACCCTCCGTTACTCGCGCCAACTTTTGTAACACGAGTACTCGCGCGTTGTACTTTGTACAACAGTGTGAGTTTTCCATTGCCATTTTGCAGCCGAGCTACGAATCGATATGAAACCCGCTTCCTTAAAAAACGTTTTTTTTTTAACTAAACAAGCTAAACTATTACCCCCCAAAAAATGCGGATAATAAAGAAAATGTGAATGGAAACCGCGTAAACGGTGTCCGTACTACGTGGGATTTGACCTAATTGGTAACAACATGGAAAATGTCGAGATCCTGACCAGATAGAAAGTTACTGTCTTTGGCAAAGTTGTTCAGAAGGTCAAGGCCTTTTTGTTGGTGGACAGTAGTTCAGAGTTTTCTCACTTTGCGGCACTAGTATACATGTAAAATTCTCGCAAATATAGAATATCTCTAGATCCTTACCAGATAAAAAGTTACTGTTTTCGGCAAAGTTTTTCAGGAAGTCAAGATCTTTTTGTTGGTGGAGTAGTGCAGAAAATTCTCACTACGTGGCGCTAGTATATACGTGCAATTTTCGCATATACAATAGCTCGAGATCCTGAGACGATAGAAAGTTACTGTCTTGGGCTAACTTATTCATGGGGTCAAGTATTTTTGGCTGGTGGACAGTAGTTCAGAATTTTCTCACTACGCAGTGCTAGTATACACGTGAAATTCTCATATAAAACATCTTCAGATCCCGACCAGATAGAAAGTCTTAGGCAAAGCTGTTCAGAAAATCATTGCCTTTTTGCTAGTTAACAGTAGTTCAGAATCTTCTCACTAGGTAGTGCTCGTATACATGTTAAGTTCTCGCATGTGATACTTCACTAGATCCTGACCAGATAGAGAGTAAATGTCTTTGACAAAGTTGTTCAGGAAGTCAAGATCTTTTCGTTGGTGGACAGTTGTTCAGAATTTTCTCACTACTCGGTGCTAGTATACACATGCAATTCTCGCATATAAAATAGCTCGAGATCCTGAGAAGATACAAAAGTTACTGTTTTCGGCAAACTTGTTCAGGGGTTCAAGACTTTTTGACAGTAGCCCAGAATTTTCTCTCCACGTGGCGCCAGTAAACGTGTACAATACTCGCGTATGCTAAGCTCGAAAATTACTGTCTTTGAAAAAGTTGTCCATGAGGTCAATGCCTATTGCTTGGTGCACAACAGTTCAGAATTTTCACAAAACGTGGCATTAGTATACATGCTAAATTCTCGCATGTAAAATATCTCGAGATTCTGATTAGATAGATTTCGCTAGTGGACAGTAGTTCAAAATTTTCTCACTACGTAGCGCTAGAATACACGTGAAATTCTCGCATGTGGTTTGTTTCGAGATCCTGACCAGATAAAAAGTTACTGTCTTCGACAAAGTTGTTCAGGAGGTCAAACTTTTTGGCTGGTAAACAGTAGTTAAGAATTTTCTCACCACGTGGCGTTAGTATACATGTACACTTCTTTTTTTCCTTTGGTTTGTTTTTTCCGTCGATCTTGTTTTCTGTGCTGAGCACCAATGCTACCGACGTGCCAGGAAGGCAGCTCCCACACCTGGACCCTACCTATCGACCCATCAACTCATGAACCGGGGACCAACGGCTTTACTTCCCATCCGAAGGAAGGCGTGATCAGAGATGTTATGCCTCAGAACATCCCGGCGGCGCCGACTGGGATTGAACCCAGGCCTGCTGGGGTGAGAGGTAATCACGCTTACCACTACACCACCGGCGCCGTTGGGAACATGTACACTTCTAGCATACGCTATATCTTGAGATCCTGATCAGATAGAAAGTTACTGTCTAGACAAAGTTGTTCAGGAGGTCAAAGTCTTTTGGCTGGTGAACAATAGTTCAGAATTTTCTCACAAAATCTAGGTTTTAACATCCTGAACAACTTTGTTCAAGACAGTAACTTTCTATCTGGTTAGGATCTCGAGATATATCACAGGCGATAATTTCACATTTCACTAGCGCTACGTAGTGAGAAAATTTTGATCAACTGTCCACGAGCAAAAATGTTGTAATATCCTCAACAACTTTGCCGACGACATTAATTTTCTATCTGGTTAAGAACTTGAGATATTTTATATGCGCACCATGAAGTGAGAAAATTCTGTACTACTGTTCATCAGCCAAAAGACCTTGAACTCCTGAACAACTTTGACGTAGACAGTAACTTTCTATCTGATCAGGACCTCGAGCTATAGCATAACTACTGTTTACCAGCCAAAAAGTCTTGACCCCCTAAACAACTTTGCCTAAGACAACAACTTTCTAGCTGAACAAGATTTCGAACTATTGAATTTGCGAGAAAGGCACGTATATATTAGCACCGCATAGTGAGAAAATTCTGAACTATTGTCACCCAACAAAAATATCTTGACTTCCTGAAAAACTTTGCCGAATACATTTATTTTCAATCTGGTCAGGATCTAGCGATATTTTATATGCAAGAGTTTCACATGCATAGTAGCACCGCAAAGTGAGAAAACTCTGAACTACTGTACACCTGCGAAAAAGCCTTGACCTGCTGAACAACTATGCCCAAGACAGTACCTTTCTACCTGGTTGGGAACTCGAGATATTTTATATGATAATTTCACGTGTATACTAGCGTCGCATAGTGAGAAAATTTTGCACTATTGAGCACCAAGCAATAGGCTTTGACCTCCTGAAAAACTTTGTGAAAGACAGTAACTTTCTATTCAAATGCCTTATTTGTATTAATTTTTTACAACTCTGTAAAAACCATTATAATAGATTCGTATCTGCAGTATGCATTCAGCAGATGCACTTTTTTTGACAATATATTCAGTCTGGGGTTGAAAATCTGTTTTCAAATTCTATTTGGTCCATCATCACCAGTGCTTTTTCAATCGTTCGAACTATTTACCCATAACTTTTCTCTTAATTATGTTCAATTATCTTTGCTGATTTTACACCAGTAAGGAACGACAAACGTGCGCACAGCAACGCGCGGTTAGCTACTTTCGATGGTTGAATACTAGAAACGACGAGCACGCAGTGGCGATTATGGTGGTGGAATGTGAGCAAACATAAATGCTAGGTCCCGTCCCAGGTTTCCTTTAGCCGTGGATCAAATCGAGCCGTTCAGCTCAGCACGACAATTCAATATTGCGCAACATGCTCTGCTGACAAGAAGGAATGAAATGTTCAGTGTGATTTTATGAACAGGAGAAGTGCTCTCCTTTTTTGTGGGAACATGAGACGGCACAGTGGTGTGAAGGTGCAAGTGCAAAAAAATGTCTGCAGAGATTGAGACCTTGACATTGATCGTACGAACACCACACCTTGGGCGATGGTGGCGAGTTTAAGGCGGAATATAATTACTTAGAGTACGTAGTAAACTTGTGTGCCACTCGGAAGTAAGGATCGGATCTCAATGCACATTGCATGGATTACTAGCAGATTCGTGACAATAACATAATATTCTTTAGCGGAAAATAAAACTGAGTAAATCCATTAAATTTGTTTGGTTTGTTTATTTACAATGAAATTCAATTATACTAGTTTGTGAGAGTGGTCTAGAGCACTTCTAATAGTGAGAATAATGGGGCTCTGGGTGGCTATACTGGTGGACTGGGGTCACAACCTTGGCGACTGGGGCGTACACCTTGGCCACTTGGACTGGAGCGACGATCTTGGCAACTGGAGCGATGGTCTTGACGATCTTGTGTCCCTCAAGAGGTTCACGACGGACAACGGCGTTGAATCCATTATGCTCATCGGCGGTGTAGTCAACAATGCGATGGTAGCCATCAGCGTCAATCAGGGTGTATTGTCCCTTAACATCATCGCCATGGCGTTCCTCCTGTTGGCTCTTGATATCGCCGGTGTGCTCATCGTGAACGGAGTACTGGAACTGGTATTCGGCCGGGGAGTCTGGGTATTCGACGTGCTTGACAGTCTTGACTAGAGCTGGCTGGATGGTCTTGACGAAGGCTGGCTGGACGGTTTTGATCAGGGCTGGCTGGTGATGGTACTCAGGCTGCTGTTGATAGTGCTGAGGCTGCTGCTGATATTGCTGAGGCTGGTAGTGATGAGGGTCGTAATGCTGGGCGCTGGCAGCGGCCAGAACGGCAAAAACAGCTAGGAACTTGAATGATAAAATATGTTTCATCAGAATAATTCTAGTTCATAAACGTTCATAACGTCTTACTTTGAAAGCCATCGTGTAACAATGGAGAACTCTAGTTTTAGGCTCTGCTCCGAAGGAAATGTTCTGTTTGAATAATTTCGGTAAACTGTGCCAATCCAGAGTTTAACCTTAGTTTATATACGCGAAACGACGAGAGAGACAATTTTCGACACGGCTATTAGTGATCAGCGTTCGTTGGCTTGTCGATCGTATCATGTTAATGGGGCTGTTGCAAAAGTTTTCGCTTATCCACTTCCCTTTTTAAATTTATGCACACGCCTACGGAAACTTTAATGTGTGAGCATGTTTGTATTTGTGCGCGTGCGAGTGTGTGTGTGTGTGTGTGTGTAATTGTAGGTGTGCATGATTGAGAGCGTCGGTGTTTCTGTATTTTTTAATTAAACCTAAGGGGAAAACTTTCAAAACTCCCTAAAACTGCTACTCAAAAGACAGTCATACTTCGTGCATGATAATGCCCCGTGAGTGATTTTGTTTTACCCATCAAAGTCTCTTATGTACCCTAGAGGGCCTACCAGAAGATTAACGACATGTCAAAAATTGATCAATCGTTTTTCTGCCAACGGCTAGGAAAACATCATTCCAATCAAGTAGAATGCTTGTCAAATGACTGACATGTCGTCACTCTACTACACAACAAAAAAATAATACATGAACATCAAATGTAAGGGTGGATTTCTTACATTCTCCTTGCAACAAATGTAATGTCAGTATTAACAACTTACAATTGACTGTTGAGTACAAGCAGGTATATCTCGTTTACAGTCCCGGTAGTCACAAACGGCGCACTCCGTTTACCACATGAGCAGATCGCTTGCCAAATCATTTATTTCTTGGCAAACTTTGAAAGTTTCTGCTTCCTTACTTCCTCCGGAACATCAAATCTTGTGCTGGGCGGTGAAGAACAGTAGCCCGTTTCCGAGCCCGTGACTTTCCCACCGTATTTGCCGTTCGTCACGATTTGCAGCCTTCTGCACTTTGTACGTTTGCAGTCCCTCCCGGTCCTTGGCTCTATGAATGAAAGATTTCAACTTTTTGGCCACTTCCCTGACCGAAGCGTTGTGATTCCGCTTAAACGCCTTTACGGCACGGTTGTGATCCTGATGACTAATAGAACATCCATTCTGACCGCATTTCTTCTTCCGTTTGATGCTCAAAGTTTCGTAGCAACGTTTAATCGCACGACTCACCGTATCTTCGAACAAAGAGATGCAGTCTTCAATGCTCAAAATTTTCTGGCCCGATTTTTTTTTAAATTTTTATAAGGTTATGAAAAATAAACCTTTTGGAATTTCCAAATCCCGAATTTTAGCAAAAATGTTAATCATTGTCCATAAAAAATAATGCTGCAAAGTTCCATGCAAATCGGATATGGTCAGGATCAGTGCTGCAAAATCTCGACAATACACGGTGATATCCCAAATTCTTATTTGGTCACTCATTTGAGCTAACAGTCATCGTCAAAGCAAACCCTGTCAATTTTCAATGACAATACTGTCAGTGACAAACATGTGTTGATTTGTCTTTTAACTAAATTAATAACGAAATTAAATGGCTTGGGCAAAATAATTACATGGAGTCGTTAAATTCAACAAGCATCTACGTCCTGAACTACTTGGATAACAATCATGTGACACAGAATGTACGAAATTACACTTTTTGCTACCAGGTGAATCTTTGTCATTGAAGAAAATATGAATGAGATTTTGACGAAGGTTTTTTTGAGAATCAAGTGTGTCAGTGACTATGTGACGAACAATTTTGTCAATATCGCGCGAAAGTCTGTCAATGACAATGACAAATCTCAGCACTGGTCAGGATATTTCAATTCCTCATTTGGCGTGAAACTGCTCAACTGTGAAAAATGTAAAAAATTCCGAAAGAAAATGATCTGAAAGACACGAAAGTTTCACAATTCCTTACGGAATCGATCACAATTTTCACCAATTTCAACGATAATTGATACAGTTTAGGTAAGCATGGTAGGAATGAAAGAAATATATTATGTTTTTGTTTCATAGAAATTAATTTTATCAAAATTACTCACAGCTTATACTGAATTTTCAAACTTAAGAGAAATTGGGTCACAATTGCATAAGAAATAAGCCATAACTTAAAATTGAATTGAACATAATTTAAGCAACATAAACGACAACTTCGATCGAAATCAACTACATACATATTTCAACGTAATTGATAACACTGAAAATAAAATTTCGTTTATACAACGAAATCGCTCGTTTGTTCTACGAATTTATTCGTTGTTTTCTGCAACGAAATGGATTTGTACATTGTATGAAGCTAGTTTCGTTAGAACTGCCACACTTGCTATCGCTACACCCAACCAGCGGGCCACAAGTGTTGGTTGTGGAAACCGAAAAATGTGGAGTGTGTTAGTGAGGATGGGTAAAAATAACTTCATTATTGGAAGGAATAAACATGACAAAAAAATAAAAATAGGCTTCATACCGGACTCGACTTATGTACCTTGCGATCGTCAGATCTGTGCTTTATCCATCGCCTTATCTGTGCTACAGGCAATTAAGAAGCACTCATGGAACGGTAATTCGATTTCGCTTGCTTTTTCTGCTGCTTGCATGTATTTTTTTTCTCTAACATTAATTCACCGCGACGAGTAATTTGATTTATTGTTGTAGCTTGCATGTATTTATCAAACCGACAATATTTCTAAAAAAAAAATGTCCCATCTCCAACACACAATCAGCACTTTAGTAGACAGTAAGCGCAGTTGTTGGTTTGATTGTACGAAGATGTATTTGTATATTATACAAATAAGGCGTAATATTGACATTGCGCCAGATGACAGGAAAAACGAATGTTTCGTATCATTTATGAAAGATGTGTTGTATGTACGACATTCATTTTTACGAAACGGTTTTCAGAGAAATGACGACAATACATTTTCAGTGCACTTTTAACGGTGGCGTCACGTATCTCGCTTTTTTGTTTCACTTGGGAATGCAAAAAATTGAAACGATTAAGGGAAGTGTACCAGTTATGGCACTAATTGACCATACGGCCAAAAACCATGGATTTTTCATAAAATTTGAAATGTATTCCTTAGGAAGTTAGACTCAATGCTATTCGGTAGGTTCACGTTGAAAAATATGGAAAAGCTTATTTTGTACATGAATTAGTAGACTGGCCCACAAAAATAAAAATTTACCACTGGCCAACCCCTAGATTCGTGAGAAAACCATTCTCTGAAAGTTTCAGCTCATTTTGTTCTAAGATGAGCTGGCGCTTTAAGTTTGAATTTTGTATGGGGAATTTGGACAAAATACATGAAAAAAGACACACCTACACTCTATCGATCATAAAAATGTTTCCTTATTCGCGATTTGATTCAGATTCTCAAAACTTGTAGTTCAATTAATATGTAATAACTTTGCTGAAGATTGCATCATGAATCTAGTTAGCTTTATTGAAATATTTGCTTTTGAGTGTATATGAGCATTTTGAATATGAACATTTCAACCAAATCTCCTATAAAAACATTAAACATAAAGTGCCAGCCCGTGTTACGTCAAAAATAGCTGAAAAATTCAGAGATTGGTTATCGCACAAAAAGACACGAGCCTCGATGTTGGCAGGTGGAAAATATGAACTTTTATTTTTAGTGGTAATCTAGTTGATACTTTGCATAAGCTGTCTGTATTTTGATGCAATATACCGTTCCGATTCAAATTTCGGACACTTTCATTTTTAATTAAATATTACATCCAGTTAGAAACAAAGTAATAATGTTAGATGATCGTGGAGGGCACTAGTCAAAAAAAATTAAAATTTACAAGACATGTGGATCATATTCGACCGAGATAATCAACTTTTAAAAGTGTCCGAAATTCGAGTTTAAGTGTCCGAAATTTGAATCGGCACGGTACGAGCAGAATGCACATAATTATTTTTTTTTTTTTTTTTTTTTATTATAGTCAGAGTGTTAGGGTCATTCGTGACTTGTCCGGGGGTGAGACTTGAACTCGTGACTTTGGCGTGAGAGGTATGGATGTTAACCACTACGCCGGGGTCACCCCACACATAATTAATTAATATCTCCATAATAATAACTTGAATCGTGATGCTGTCTGGAGCAAAGTTGTTCCTTATTGTTTAAGCTACGTGTGCTGAAATTATGAGCTTAATCGAGTTTGCTCAACCAGTTCTATACGCGAAAGAGTGAAGGAATGATATTTCTCCATAAATTTCAACCAATATCTCCATATAAATTTTAAATCAAAAGCGCCAGCTCATGTTACATCCGAACGAGCTGAAATTTTCAAAGAGTCTTTTTCTCACCAAATGGCACAAATCTACGGGTTGGCCTGTGGAAAAAAAATGATAAAAAATTCCCCCCATATAAATGTGGGCCAGTCTAATGAGTTAGTCGTATGGCTGATTAGGGGAACACTAGTCATAACTGGTACACATCTCCTAATTAAATACCTAGATATAAATGAGTACTTCTAGGAGCTTTGGTCCATTGTGGAACAGATTTTAATACATGGCTATTATTAATATTTAATAGTCGAAATTCCCCTGGGAAGTTTCATTGACTTCCGACATTACTGGATGATTCTTCCGACTTTTCCTTGGCTTCCTCTGGGAGTGGAAATTGTTTCCTATTTCATCCGTGACAGGATCTTCTCTTGTATGTATATTCTGATTACACCAGAAGTCTAGCTGGTTTAGTTACTTTGAGAGCGTACCTAGAAATCCAAGGGAAGTTTCTTCTGAGCTCTTCGGAAACCCTTTCAGAAATTTCCCGGAAGTTCAGCCAAAACTTCTACGGCATTTTCTACCAATATTCTCTGGCTCATCCTGGAAGATTCTACACTAATTTCTCTAGGATGTTTCCTTCATCTTTCCCCAGAAATCCCTCTGGGTGCCTCAGGAAGTGTCTGACTTCCCCGTTGTTTTTTGACTCATCCAAATTACCACGGAAGACTATTCCGACTTCTTCTAGTAAGAAGACCTGCCCAGATGTAATTTGGGTGGAAAATTTCCCTGTA